GATCTCTTGACCTTGTGATCCACCCGCCTCGGCCTCCCAAAGTGCTGGGATTACAGGCTTGAGCCACCGTGCCCGGCCTTGAGTATATTTTCATTCTTAAGCTTGTGTTTTGTTAATTTTAATAAAAATTTAATGTTTTTTAAGTCTATCAATATGTGCTAGGATTCTTTAATTACCCCAAGTGCATGCTAGCAAATTGTGGCCCCCTTTTTTTTAAGTGACTGAATGAAAATTTATGGAATAAAATGAATTTTCTTATAATTTTAAAAAGATAAATATTTTATATTGATAAGATACTGTTTTGATGTTAAGAGCTTGTCATTACTTCCCAAAGTTGTCAGAGGGTTTGATTCAGGGAGTGAGAGTCACTAGACTCCAGCCCACCAATTTAGTATAGACCCCCCAGATGACTTTCTGTAGCAAGGATTATACCTTTCATTTGCTCTTGCATACCTTTCAGTATGCAAGAAAGCTCTAAGACAATGATGATGATCTCCATTTACAGAGAACAACACTGAGGTTCAGAGACCCTTAGATACCTCTCCTGGAAATGTGGGGTTCTGTAATCAGCTCTTGAAAGCCAGTGCTCTTTTCTGTAGTCCATGCCACCCTAATCCTGTTAGACATGCAGTGATCTGTGAGCACTCAAATAACCGGAAACCCACTGAGGCTCTTCACTGTGTCATTTTTAAGCTTATTAGAATCTCTACATAAAGTTTAAGATCAACTTTTTGAGCTAATAAGTGTTGTTGGTATATGCTTTAGAGTGGACAAACAATCAAAATGAATATGAATTTAAAGCAGTATCATGGAAGAGTCTAGCTCAGAAAACTGTATTATGCTAAATGTAAAAAGAAAAAGATTAATAGGTTTGAAATTATTTGTATTTTAATAATTTTAGTTTTAGAGCTATTTGATATCAAATGTTATACTCCTTGAAGCATGAACTTCTTTGACAGAGTAAAACTATAAGAGTATACACTGACTTCTAGGAGATTTCTAAAAGGTAATTTTACAGAGTATATAATTCACGAGTCAGTTGTTGGGTTAAAAACCATGACTGACAATGCCTCTCATTATTTTTATAATGGTAAATTTTTCCAATAATTGCATTGCATATATGAGTATTACAACGGTTGGGGTGACTTTGGTTGTTTAAAAAAACCAACACAGGAATCCTTTTGCATGCGGATCACTATGGAAGCTCATAAAATTTTATAAAGATACAGCCCATTTCCTTCCTGACCTAAAACAGAAAGAGTGATGTCAGATCCCAGGCTTTTAGGGCACAGCCCAAGGCTGTGTGCTATGTAGTAATTAGTAGAAACCATGAGTTGGTGCTTTGGAACAATAATGACAAAAGTATGAGTAAAGAAACTTGACAGTGATTTTCTTTGATCTGCTTTTAATGAGGATATATTTACTTTTCAAAAACATTCTTTAGAGAAAATTTGTGCTGGCAATATTTATATTTTATAATTCACTCAAAAGCAACTAAGTGTTTTAATGCATTTATAACATTGAGTCTGAAATGATTTATAAGAGTATTTCTCAAACTTTATCCATAACCGTAGTGAGAAATACATTTTACACCATGACCTGTACACACAAGCCTTTGCGTTTGTGTGTATATAACTGATACAAATCTGTATACCTACAGCAAACAATACAGGCTATTTTCCCTTTTTTTAAATTAGGTCATAATCAGCACTTCAAAAAACATTGATATGATTTTCAGCATTTTTTAAATTCCATGACTTTTTCTATACTGTTCATATTTTCTTTGCCACATAATGCAAAAGCTGTTATTTCTACAAATGCATGGCTAATGCCACATATCAAAAACTATGCCTGACTACATAGTAATGTTGGATTGCCCACAAAGGTAGAGAAAGGGTGATTACCATCACCAAAAGGCAGGTATTAAAATCTTTAGGTCCTTTGAGAACAAGGGCCTAAGAAACTAGGAACTTGAGAGAAGGGCCATCAATAAAAGCGAAGTTCAGGATTCTTGACTTGAGATTCAGATAGTGTTAGTTGTACCGAGTTCCATCAAAATGTACTCGAGGGAGCTGGCTATTCCTTGACCTTCCCACAATGCCTGTGCAGGAGGCTATGCCCAGAGCCTCTGTCCTGGGGCAAGTCTCCTCAAGTGGTGGATGCTAATCCAAGAACAGTATGAAAGTGTTGCAGAGTCCACAATCTGTTTCTTTTAAATACAGAGTTCAAGATGCACAGGGACAATGATCTATTGAAAATGGTTCTGTTTTTTTTAACAGGAATAAAAAATAAGACCCTATCACAGCTGAATTGTAACAGGAATGCTTCTCTGTCAAAACAAAAGTAAGTCCCCCTTTCAAATTTCACTCATAGCAATAGCAAACAAAGATAAATCAAGTAACTTCAATTACTATTTTGAATGTTCCATATTCTCAATTATTTGTATGACTATTATGCTGTTAATGATTTTTAAAAAAGTAATAGATGTCATTCAAATGCTGATATTAAACTGAAATCTAATGAATAGTATCCTTGGATGACGTCTAAACTGTTCCTTAAGATTAATATAATATAAACACTATTTTGCTTATAATTTGTTGAATACGTTTAGAAATATTACAGAGTTCATTTCTGATCAAATTGTTTATGCATTTGTGAACTTTTACACAGTCATTAGATGACTTTTCCACAGATTTACAGAAACAGCATGACTATTTTTAAGTGCTATATAGTTACAGTGATAATTTCTTATATTGTTCCTAAGAAGTTGACTATTTCAGCTTACAAATACTGATATATAAAGGATGATTTGGACAATTATCGAAATGTTTAGGCAGTTTGTAAATAGGTCCCTGTGATAGTACAACAAATTGTGCGCCTTGTCACTTGTCAGGTAACATTTAGGATCCTGTCCTCTGGTTTGCAGTATTGCAAAAGAGGAGAGGGCGAAGAGAGAGAAGGGGGATGAAGGAAACCGCATGGCCTGCTATTTTCTGCCAGGACCACTGCTAGATCCATTACATGCAACAGCCTGTATAATTTTTCCAGTAACCCTAAGATGTACACATAAGGGTTATTTACAGAAAAGGGAACCCAGGAACTAAGGTGTTAAGGAGGGAAAAAAGAAAACCTGATGCATGGTCATATTGCTAGTTAGCAGTAGAGCCAAGTTTGAAATTCATGTTTGTTCCATTTTATCACACTGTCCCCTATGCCACAGTGTTTAGCATCTTAGTTTTGTCTGGCCTGGAATATTGTACATCAAAGTGAATGTCTTTGTGAAACAAAATTTTATCCTATCAAGAAGTTTTGAGTAGGAGTTATCAAAATCCTGTGGAAATTTCTTACCTTAGTATTCTAATCTCTCAGGGTATGGGAGTGGGTTGTTGCATTAAATGACATTTATGAAATACTTTAAAGGATATTAAAAAGATATTAAAAACGTTTTCCCTACCCCACACCAAATCCTAGAAAAGGTACAGTGACTAGATTTCTAAATTGGGAATTGTTCTGACTTTGAAAAACATTTTTCTGAACTTTGTGTTAGGTCTTTAGAGAATGATGTATCACTGACTTTGAATTTGGATCAGAGACTCTCTCTGGGTTCAGATGATGAAGCAGATCTTGTCAAGGAACTTCAGAGCATGTGCTCCAGCAAGTCTGAGTCTGATATCAGCAAGGTGAGCAGTACAAATATCGGGCATTGAATGGCTCTGCCCAACAGCTGGGAGACTTTTGGGGGACCACAATTTCCTAAAAGGAATTCCTTATTAAATAGCATGGTTAATACTCCAAATCAAACCATCCTTCACGTTGCTTAGAAAAGCTGTTTGTTTCTTCCGAAATATTATTTTGACAATAAAAGAGCTCTACTTTGTAAAGCCTGCCTTTCCATACTCCTCCTAGACCTGAAGTTAAAATTGTATGCTCTGGAGTGCAGTGGCACGATCTCAGCACACTACAACCTCCACCCCCCGAGCTCAAGCAATTCTTCCTGCCTCAGCCTCCCATAGCCGGGATTACAGGTGCCCGCCACAGTGCCGAGTTAATTTTTGTATTTTTTAGTAGAGACAGGGTTTCACCATGTTGGCCTCTTGAACTCCTGACCTCAGGTGATCTGCCTTCCTTGGCCTCCCAAAGTGCTGAGATGACAGGCGTGAGCCACCGTGCCTGGCCTGGGAAGCTTTTTATGTAAGCCTAATTTTGAGTTTCCTCAGATCTTTTTCCTTTCCATATTCCCAACTTTGGTATGTCAGTCATCTATCAGTAAGAAAAGTACAAGCATCACAGCAGACTTACAGATCAAGCAACAGCTTTCTTGGCAAATGAGAAAAAGAATTAGCTTGTATAATGCATATCATCATAATCTTTAAGCTGTGAAATTTGAGATCCAAATATGGAAACCAGTGACCTGAAATCTCAGATAAAACATGCATCAAGTTCAACCTGTTTTGGCACTCTGGTATCTGCAGCAGGTTTCACTGAGCTGCCTTGATAGATGTCTTTTGCTTGAAAGGGAGCATAAGAAAGTGGTTGAAACTTGTTCAGGTTCCCCTGAAACACTCAACTGTGTTATTTGAGTCGTCATAATATCTACAACAAAGTACAATTCACTATCTTATTTAACTTTGTTGGAAACAAAATATGAATACACTGGAAAAGTAAGGTAATGATTAAAATCTCGCAAATTTTATATCCTTCTTTACTTGCCAAGTAACTTTTTTTTTTTCCTAGAGAGTTCGTCTTCTGGTCTTCTTTTGACTTTTCAAATGGGTTCTTTTCCCTTAGAGGATGTTTCTCTTGCATTTGCTGTCAGTTTTACATAAAGACTTCAAGTCTTTCATGTGAACACTTCAGGATTTGAGGGGCAGGGAAGAGAATAAGGGTAATATTTTTGAGGTTTCTCCGCCATTTAGCTGTGCCCTGAGTATGCACAGTGTGACTGTGGAGACATGACTGGGCAAATTCTGTATTTTCCAGATTGCTGATTCCAGGGATGATTTAAGGATGTTTCATAGTTCTGGAAACAACCCTGTATTTTCAGCAACTATTAATAACCTGAGAATGCCAGTGTCACAAAAGGTAAGTGTCCTTTTCTCCCCTCATCATGCTATTTAGAATGGTCTGCAAACGTAGGAATTGTGTATTTCTCCCCAAAATGAGCAAAGAAGGATTGCTCTGGAATTGACTTCACAAAGCATCTTTCAGTGTGAATTGCAGAGTTATTTTTTAAAACCAAAGCTAAGAACTGAAAAGTGGGATGAAGGTAAAAGTGTTCATTAGTTTATCAAGCTTAGAAAGAGTTTTTATAGAACATTTTGGAAACAATTACATAGAAAAACATTACTTTTTTCCCTTCTATTTGATTCCTAAAATTTTATT